AAAAAAAAAAAAGAGTCAGATGCTTAACCAACTGAGCTACCAGGAGCCTGAGCCTTCTTAAAGCAACCTCCACCTGCATCATCCCATACGCTCAGAAAGGAAACCCCTTTGATGCTTGTCCACACCCCTGGGAGGTTGGTGGGGGGATATGGTTTCCCAGTGTCCTTCCTGTCGCTTCCCTGGGACAGATTGTTCTGTCATTAGTGGGGAGGGGCCAAAGCCCATAGATGGTGGTAGATTCTTCTATAAAAAGAAGACCACCTCTCTATCTCATAGTCTGATGCTAGCTTCTTGACACGGGTATATGTGTGCTGGGACACTGCCATGGCCCCTGGGTACACTGGACAGCCACCACACAGAGAGGTAGGGACTCACACATCAGAGGGAAGAGAATCAGACACAGGGATGTGGGCACAGCTGTGTGCTCCCAACACCCCCACGCAGGCAAGGGCACGGAATGAGGTCAAGGTCAGGGGCTCTGGCTCCACACAGACCCGGATCGACTTACCTTTCTGCCTCCTGCTAGCCGTGTGGTCTTTAACAAGCCACAACACCTCCCCGCACCTCAACTCCCTCCTCTGCACAAGCATCAAAAAATAACTGTCCTTACCTCCTGGGCTTGTTGTAGAGACGGACTGAAATCATCCCCGCAGCCGGCAACGCAGTACCCGGTGCGGGTAGGCCTGAGCCGTCGTAGGCCCACGGGCTCTGGCTCGGGGGTTTGCGCACGAACAGGCCTGATGTCGGCGTACGTCACGGGGAGACCATCAGACATGCAAACCTGCGCACACAGGTTCACAGGGGACATGCAGACATGCCAGTAGGTCTCACCGGCAGGGACACATGATTTGTGCCCACGCACAGTGCCCAGGCTGCTGGTGCAGAGAACACAGGCGCTAGGCCCGGGGCCCTCTGCAGGCTCCTGGCTGGCTGAGACGCGCTGTGAGTCACCCTTGCCTCCCGGAGCCAGAGCGTGGGGGTGCAGGCTCCGGGAGAGGACTGAGCTCTGGCCCTCCCTACCCAGGTGCACATCCAGAACGCCACGCTTGCGGGAGGGGTGGCCGTGGGCACCGCTGCCGAAATGATGCTCATGCCATACGGCTCCCTCATCGTCGGCTTCATCTGCGGCATTGTCTCCACCCTGGGTTTTGTGTACCTGACGGTGAGGGCCCCCGGCCAGGGCAGAGGGCTGGGGAACCCCGGGGTCTGTGTTTCTAACTGGCAGGGGTGGGGAGGTCTGGGGGCTGGAGGGTGCTGGGTCTCTGGGTATTTGGGGCCTCTGGAATCCTGGCCTCCCCACACCCCTGCCACGGCTAAGGGCCCGAGCAACACCCTTCTCACCTCTCCAGCCATTCCTGGAGTCACGGCTGCGGATCCAGGACACGTGTGGCATTCACAACCTGCACGGCCTCCCGGGCATCATAGGCGCCATTGTGGGTGCAGTGACAGCATCCTGCGCCAGTGCTAAGGTGTATGGAATAAAAGGGTAAGTATGGAGGAGGTGCAGGGAGCCCGGGCTCCCTCCTTCCTTCTCCATTCCTCCTTCCTGCTGTTCTGGGGTCCAACGTTGTATCTCTACCCCTAGCCTTCCCTAATCTGAACAACCGTCCATGGGCCTCTCTCCCGAACCTCTGTCCTTCCTCAGGAGTCTTAGAGACCATCTGATCTGTCCAGTGCACATGGGGAGGCTCAGGCCAGGGTTTACTGAGCCTTGGTGCCCATTCACATTTGTGGGGCGACAGCAAGTGCTTCCTTGGCCTCTCTGTGGAGCCCTGACCTGCTCTCTGTCTCCACTCGAGGCTTGCCAATTTCTTTGGCTTTGATGGTTTCAAGACTTCCTGGGACTCAAGCATGCAGGGCAAGTTTCAGGCTGCTGGTCTCTTCGTGTCCCTGGCCATAGCCCTGGTGGGCGGCATCATCGTGGGTGAGTGGGAGCGTCTGGGCCAGAGAAGGTGGGGCTGCTGCGGGTGGGGGACCCACCAGCACGTACCAGAGGCCAGCCCGGAGGACCCAGGAATCCTGTGCGCTTGTGGCTGTGGGATTGGGTTGGGTTGGGGGTGGGGGGGGGTTTCCCATCTGTGGGAAAGGGCTGGGTAGGCAGAGAGGAAGTGGTTCCTGACCTCCTGTGACCCCTAACTTTCTTTAGGGGTCATTTTGAAGTTGCCATTCTGGGGACAACCTGCTGATGAGAACTGCTTTGAGGACTCAGTCTACTGGGAGGTGAGTTCCAGGAACTTGTTCCTCTACCCAAAGGGGGTTCTGCCCTTCTCCACAGACCCTACTCACGTCAGCTGGGCTGGGTCCTGAGGAGCCAGAAGCTGAAGGTGAGGGACAGAGCCCCTCGTCACCTTACTCCTCCAACGGGAGACTGTGTCTCCTGGGGCGGGGGCGGGCTGAAGGCTTTATTCTAGAGCAGTAATTCCTAAAGTATGGCCCCCTGTGCTCCCCAGAGGCAGCGGCACCTGGGAACTTGTTAGGAATACAAATTTCTTGAATCGTACCCAGTCCTCCTGAATCCAAAATTCAGGGGTGAGGCTCAGCACTGTTTCAACAAGCCCTCCCCGTGATTCTGATGAAACGCACACCCGCCTCTGAGAACCAGGACCCTTCTGTGTGCATTGGAATCACCCGGGGAGCTTTAAAGGTTCTCCAAGCCCCACGAGGCTCCGAGTTCATTGGTTTGGGGGTAGGGCCTGGACATTAGGAGTTTTTGTTTTTTTAAACTTCCCCAGGTGTATCCAATAGGTAACCCGGGTTTAGAACCACGATGTGGTGGGCGCCTGGGTGGCTCAGTCGGTTAAGCGTCCGACTTCAGCTCAGGTCACGATCTCACAGACCGTGAGTTCGAGCCCCACGTCGGGCTCTGGGCTGATGGTTCAGAGTCTGGAGCCTGCTTCCGGTTCTGTGTCTCCCTCTCTGTCTGCCCCTCCCCCGCTCATGCTCTGTCTCTGTCTCAAAAATAAACGTTAAGGGG